CGCCCGCCGGCCGCCCGCCGCCCGCCGCGCTGACGTGGTGCGCACGCGCGTCCTCCGCGCCGGCCCAGGCGCATGCGCGCTCTGCGCCGTCTTCTCCCGGCCCGAGCAGCCGCGGCGGCGGCGTTTGAGTGGAGGAAGATGGCGGCTCCGGGCGGCCCGGGGTCCCGCGGGCTGTGAGGAGCCCCGAGCACGGCGGGCGCGGCCTGAAGCAGAGCGCCTCCGCTCTGGCCCTGTCCCCAGCTCCCTCACCACCGTCGCCGGCGGAGCGAACCCGAGAGCGTGGAGCGGGCTGGGCCAGGTGAGGCCTCTCCCCCTCCCGGGACCGCGGCGGGGAGCCGGCGCCTCCTGCCCTTTATGCCCCGGGCTCGCAGCGGGCGGCGGGCGCCCCGGGTCCTGCGCTGGCCCCTCGTCCCGCGTGGAGGTCTGTCCCGGCCGGTCGGGGGGCCTTGCTGTCGCCATCGGGTTAGGCGGGGAGGAGCGCTCCTTGCCGGTCAGCCTTTGGGATGGGAGGGAGCCCATCCCCTCGCGGCAGGGCGCTTCTCGTTCCCTCGCTGGGGCCACGATGGCTTCGGGGTGTCAGATCTTCCTTCACGCCGTCCCTGAACCTTTAGCTCCTCGCGAGGGGAGCCCGAGTCGGGGGCCCTCCGAAAGCGAGGCTGCTGCTGGGGGCCAGCATCTCTGAAGCTGCAGCTGCAGCTGCAGGGGGATAATTTTGGAATCGGTTTACGAAATAAAACACGAGCAGCCCTTCCTGCCCCCTCGCTTGCTGCGTGTTCCCCTAGAGAAGTGAGGACTGCGGATCTCCTGGCTGGAGACAGCAGTCCACGCGGTGAGTGTGGAAGGCTCCTGGAGGGAATTGTGTGTGCCGGGGGGCCGGGCGAGGGTGGGAACGGATTCGTGAACCGAGAGGAAAGAAGGTGAGAGAGCCGGATGGTCTCTGCGGAGTAACTTCAGCTAATGGGGGTGCCTTTGAAATCTTTGGATGGTATAGATTCTAAATAACCAGTTGCTTGGTTAAATCTCTCGACTTCTATTAGGACAATAAAATGAACTTCATTAACTAATTGCCAGAGTCTTTGGGTTTTCCTGGGTTGGGTGGGTTTCTGACCGATCTAGGTGAAGATTGAGACACGGTACTCGTTCTACTTGCTGGCAGCGACAGGGTACTGTGCTTGTTATTCCTTTTTTTTGGGAACAACTTTTGTTGTTGTTGTTCAAATGTTCATGGGGAGACTTCTTCGATTTCGTTTGTCTCACCTTGGGAAGCCGGTTTGAAGCCCTGGGCTCTCTTCCTTGAGGAATGATGGTTTCAGTTGGAATGGTGCTCTGGGGAATTGTTGAAGCAGTTGCTTTTGCTTGGACACGCTAGATACCTTCTGTAACAAATTGGTGTTGCTTGTGCTTAAGAATGATGACATCATGGATTTAAAGGGACAAGGAAAATTTGAGAGGAATACCATCATTTAGAATTGGACATTTAGAATTCAGTCTGTAGCTCTTACGATGATTAGTGATGCTCTCTGTCAAATTGCTAACTTTGAGTGTATTCATGTGTGTAATCTGATTAGGTGTCTTTCTATTGTATGCTGTCATTTTATACCCAGTAACTATTTGCTTTTGACAAGCCCAATATAAATATAGTAGAGTACATTGATCCAGGGATTTGTTGTGTACTTCAAAAAGCTTTTAATTGTTAAAATGGCAGCTGTTTAATATTAGCTAATTCTTTGACCATTTTTTCCCTTTCCTATTCTTAAACCCTTTTCCACAGAAATTTGTAGATTTTCTTAGTGCTTTTACATGTAGATATGAACCAGTAACTTCTCAGTGGTAGAAAATTGGAGAGCCACTTTGCATATCAATTTGCTAATAAAGAGTCATGAAATGAATGCAACAAAACATTCTGATGATTTGACATTATGCTTCTTAGCATAATAATGTTGCATTGTTGTGCTAAATAATCATCTGGTATTGATGCAACTTCATGACATCCAGGACATCATTTGCTCTCCAGCATTTTGACTTACCTTTCTCAGTTACAAAAAGAGCAGGAGCAAGAAAAATAGCTCAGGATGCTTCTTAATGTCTGATTTCCAGGAGGGCCTTTACTATTGCTTTACATATTTAAAACCCGTCAGTAAGATTCAGAGCTGTATGTTTCCTACTTATAAAGAGCAAGCAAAGAAAATGCTAGCAAAATCTCTGAGTTTTATGAGAGTATTGAGGTCCCAAGGAAAAACTTTCCCAAGGAGGAAAAAAATGTGACTATCATTGTGATTGTAGAGTTGTTTTAGTTAGTGAATTAACATCTCTTTATAAAACCAGAAGCCATTTGGTTAAATAATGCCCTTCCCATGTCATAAAGTTGTTATGTGGATCAAAAGAGAGAATATTTGCGAAAGTGCTTTGTAAAATGTAAAATAAACGATAAATATAAGATCAATTATTCCTTTTTTTTTTTTTTGAGTTGGAGTCTCACTCTGTCACCCAGACTGGAGTGCAGTGGCCGCTCCTGGCCACCGCAGCCTTGACCTGCTGGGCTCCGGCGATCCTTCCGCCTCAGCCTTCCGAGTAGCTGGAATTACAGGCGCGCGCTACCACGCCCGGCTAATTTTTTGATTTTTTATTGAAGAGATGAGGTCTCGCCTGCCCAGGCGGGTCTCGAACCTGCAAGCTCGTGGAATCCACTCATCTCAGCCTCCCAAAGGTGCGGGATTACAGGCTGAGCCACCGAGCCTGGCTCTTTTTATTTTTTTTTGAGTTGGAGTTTCACTCTTTGTTGCCCTGGCTGGAGTGCAGCGGCAAGCTCACGGCCACCGCAGCCTTGACCTGCTGGGCTTAGGCGATCCTTCCACCTCAACCTTCCAAGTAGCTGGAACTACAGACACATGCCACCATGCCCAGCTAGTTTTTGTGATTTATTGTAGGGACGAGATCTCACCAAGCTGCCCAGGTTGGTCTCAAACCCCTGGGCTCAGGCAGTCCTCTTGCCTTGGTCTTCCAAAGTGCTAGGATTACAGGCTGAGGCACCGTGCCCAGTCTGATTATTCCTATTTTATGAAACGCCTGAGATCCCACTATGTGTTAGGTGTTTTGAGAGTAAGTACTAATAATTCTAAGATAAGACAGCTTTTGATCTGAAATTGCAGCCTGACTGGGGAGCCAGAGAAAACCCATTGAACATTATTTTAGTATAAGAAGTGCACTGAATCCAACGAAGAGAGCCAAGGAAGGCTTCTCAGAGCTGGGATGGCTTTTCTCCAGCCTTTCCTATTCTGCAAAGCCTGTCTTTTGTGAGTGACTTGCTTTTTATAAAAACCTTAAAAAATTCTATCATGAGTTCTTTTCCCCTTTTATTCATTCACTGTCATGACACTTCCCACACAGTCTGCCCCAGTTATGGTTTCTGCATTTCCAAAAATCCAGCAGTCCTGGGAGAACCTCTTTCTGAGTCATATATACAGGCAGCAAACACAAACATGCAGCTGCAGTTAAAATATCTCAGATTACTAAGTGGTGACAACTTTAGAGGGATGATGCTTTTGCAAACTAGCACAAGAGGCACCCTGTTTTAAAAATTTGATCACATTTGGTTAGTAGTAAAATGTTTGGTCGTCATTCCTTATGTTGACTATTGGTGGTTATAAGTACTGTTTCTCCTAGTAATAAGTTAAAGTTTTGTTCCTTTTTGGATGAAATGGACAGCTTGAAATAAACTATTTTATCGAAACTGTTTACGTGGGTTAGCATTGCTGATATTGAACTTAAGTAGCTTAATAAAGGTTTTGCACCTTAGTGCTATACTTGTTTTGTAATCACTTTAGCATGTTGTCATCTTGTAAAACCTTCATGAATTTTTGGATTGAGTGGGATCTTGACATAGCACTGTATTACTTGAACATGTGCTATCAGTATCTTAACTGAAGGTGTGTGCTCTAAGGTTTTGGTTGACAGAGTGAAGGTGATGTGTTCATTTTTCTGTAGTGTGACAGTTTTCTGCATTACAAGGATATGACCTATAGACAAGTTATTTAAAAATTGCCCAGTATTAAGTTTATAATAGAACTTATTTTTAAAATTGTTTCCCGTGGCATTCTTCTAAAAGTCTTGTAAAATTAAGACTTAGTGGTACTCCTGTAGCTTTAATTTTGCTTTTTGAGTCAGGGGGTCTCACTGTCACCCAGGCTGGAGTGCAGAGAGGAAGTCTTGCTGTGTTCCCTGGACTGATCTTGAACTCCTGGGCTCAAGGACCTTCCTACTTGGACTTCCCAAGTGCTGGGATTACAGGCATGAGCCACCACACCCAGCCTGATTTGCACTTTCTTACACATGCATGTGTTGGAAAGCAAATTTGCTTTGAAGTTTGAGTCTTATTGTAATAAATTTCTGCTTTTTAACTTGTAATGTTTTCTCCTAAATTTTTTTTTTTTTTTTTTTTGAATTGGAGTCTCACTTTCGCCCAGATTGGAGTGCAGTGGCCGCTCCTGGCCACTGCAACCTCGACCTGCTGGGCTCCAGTGATCCTTCTGCGTCAGCCTTCCAAGTAGCTGGAACTACAGGCACGTGCCACCATGCCCGGCTAATTTTTTTATTTATTTATTGTAGAGATGAGGTCTCACCAAGTTGCCCAGCCGGGTCTCGAACCCGCGGGCTCAGGCAATCCACTCACCTCAGCCTCCCCAACCGAGGGATTACAGGCTGAGCCACGAAGCCCGGCTTCTCCTAAATTTTTAATTTTTTCCAGTGTTGCTGTTCTGTGTTTTACTTCAAAGACGGAAGTCTCTTGTGGTGCTTTGATATACAAATAGATGTGTTTATATATGCATACTATATAAATATTTAGGTATTATATTAACCAAGAGTCACTTACAAAATTTTACTATTCTGGACAGTAACTCAGCTTAGATAGTAACTATTTTCTCTTGCCTTCTAGTATAATGTAGACTTGAGATAGTTCATTTCTACAAAGGCAGACAAGTTTTAGTTTTAGCTGGTAATGTTCCCTTGGAATATTTACTTTTTTTTTTTTTTTTTTTGGAGTTGGAGTCTCATTGTCGCCCAGACTGGAGTGCAGTGGCCACTCCCGGCCACCGCAGCCTCGACCTGCTGGGCTCCGGCAATCCTTCCGCCTCAGCCTTCCAAGTAGCTGGAACTACAGGCGTGCGCTACCACACCCGGCTAATTTTTTTTTTATTTATTGTAGAGATGAGGTCTCGCCTCCCTAGGTGGGTCTCGAACCCGCGGGCTCAGGCAATCCACTCACCTCAGCCTCCCAAAGGGATTACAGGCTGAACCACC